TCTCTAAAGGTAATCCAGTTCCAAAATACAACGACTGATGAAAAGCCAGTATATTCTCTTTCTTTTTATGTGTTCTAGATGAAATTACTGCAATGACCTGCGCAGACAAAAATCAGATTTGGTCCAGAAAATTTTGACCAGTTTTGACAGATTCAGGTGAAATTAGATCATCAAGAGAAGTTAGCTTCTACTTAGGTGTCTACATTTCTTTAAAGAAAGTGCTGAGCAGATCCCTCCAGGGTGCTTCAAATGAGCTTTTTAAACTATCAACATCCGATAAGCTTGGCTCTTTCAAAAATTAAGTACTGAAATACTAGCACAGCTCGGGGCAGCTGGATGTGGGGAAGGGCTGTCTAACACAAAACAAACCAATCAAAGTGATAGGGAAAATGATGTACTTTGAGTGATGCCTTTCACTTCTGCCAAGGTATTTTCTGGAAATGTTCTATGTTATGTATTTCAGTCTCTCCACCTAGTATCTATCTTTAACATTCTCCCAAATGCTCTGAGCTGTTTTTATCCAATGACACACCATCTATAATACAGAGAGCTGTAATTTTGCGAAGACTTTGGCATGTGCATAAAGCTAAGCACAGCCTCAGAGCCCTTAGTAAAACTTCTTGCTATGTGTAAAGTTAAGTGCATTCATAGGTCTTATCAGGATGGTGGCCAAAGATTATAGAGGCATCCAAGCTGCTTGATATAGTCAAGCCTGTTCTGTGGCATGTCTATTTTAAACGTGGGTCTTCTGGTTTGTATCTTTAAAGGTCTACATGTCTTAACTGATCTGCAGAACAAATTAACTTCACAAAGTGAAAAGAGTTTAGCCTTGATAAATGAATACAAACACAAAAGAACTACTCTCCTTGGTTCACACACAACTACAGTAACAACATAAAAGGCAAGGGATCAACTCTCCAGGTCTTAACCAAGCGCGTAAGCTTTACCAGAGAAACACAACAAATTATCTGTGAGAGTAGGTACTCAGATACCAACACTTGGGCAAGATCAAGACATTATTAACTGGGTAGCATGCAATAATCTTAACATTAACTATAATTACTTATCTAATTAAACAAAATCATTTTAATGAATAATTCCATTCTCTCTCCAATGGTATTTTTCCCAGTATTCCTTAAGATGTAAAACTTGTTAGAAATTGTTCTAAATCATAAAACAAATGGGATCATATATCATGGATGACTGTATCACTACACAGAATTTCTTTCTCTTTTTTCACTTCTGCTATTATTTTTTATTTTGGGAGAAAAAAGCAAACTTTTCACCATGTTAACGAAGAACAAGCAATGGCAGAACAACTGAAGGGGCAGTGCCTGGCTGCTAATAAGCAGGCAAGGATAGCTCTAACAAGCCAGTTTATAGCCAGAGATATTTAAGCTCATTTCACAGCACTTGTAAAAATAAAATTAGCAATATAATAGGATAATTTTATATGTTTATTTGGTAAATTTAAGCCTGAGGCAAATTTAGTTCAAGAAATTGAACAGGAGGTTGATGTGCAGGTTGTTTAAGTTGCCAGAGCTCCAGTAAAAGCAGAGCTGTGAGAGTTTACATTAGCAGGCAATTTGCTCCCTGAAATGTGTAATTAACTCAGTAGGCTTTAAAAAGAGTCTTCATGATTTAAAGACCTTCGAAAAGATGCAGAATTTGTGAAATTTAGATGAACTCATATAAATACGTGAAAGAAAGATGTAAGGGAGGAAAATGGGGGACAGAGGAATCAAATTGGGAGAGGCATCCAAAAGGATGAGCCAATTAAAAAAAAAATGTTTAACTACTGAATCATGGCTTTCATTAAGCTCTGTGCAGAATAACCACCTCCCAAGAAAAGCCACAGAAAGGAAATATCATTAGAAAGCTTATGACTTTGTGAGCCCACCCTTACATTCAAGGCAGCAAACTGTTGCGCTGTATTGTTGAGCAGGATGTAAAGAGTCTGCCAAGCACAGCCCACAGACCCGCTAATTAAGTGAACTGATTGTGTTTGTTTTGGAACCGTTTGCCAACAAAGGAATGTGTCACGCTGATTAGTGAGAGAAGGGTATGTAATATATGTGTATTCAAACCCTGAGGAGCACATAACCCAGGTATTCACTCTGTTTGCTCAAGGACTGACGAAAATGACTCTTAAGCAAATAACCTGACCAAAGAGAAACTCCAGCCTTCAAGAGGGGCCCCCCTTTTCTCTCAGATAGATATATCTGAAGACCACCCATCCTTCATAAATTCCTACTGAAGACTGCTCTAGAAGCTGCTGGGAAGATTTCAGAGAGAAACGATCTCTCAAAGCTGACCTAAGAGACTGCAAGGATGGAAAGGTAACAGCCAGCTGAGAACCACCCTGGAATTGTAACAGCCTCTATGACAGATGTCACTCTTCTCTCCAAAGAGCAAGAAAGGTCAGGGAGGTAGCCAGAAAAACAAGTGCCAGCTCAACACAGACACACACACACAGCCCAAACAGACTTCACTTTTCAAACATTCAACAGAGAGGTGACAGTTTGCAAAAGCTGCCATGCACCCACTTTCAAATATTCTCAACCTAAGAGCCCAGTTTGCTGGTAGAATTAATAGCATGCTCAAAAGTGAAAGAGAATGTGAGAACACGGAAAGACAGGAAGCAGTTTTCAGAGCTCAGCTGCTTTTCTTTCTTAACTCAGCAGCTACAGTCAGGGTACTTCAATGTCTAGGCGGCCCCCAAGTATAAAATGGGAGTCCTATGTTGTAGACATCAGTTTCAGAAAACCAAGATGGAGAAATGGAGTTGTAGTCAATTCTCACCGCACTCTTGGGACTCAGAACAGTACAACTAAATCACAACTTGGAGCTAACTGTTTATCCAGAGCTCGGTACAATACTTAACTAATAGCAAAGCTGGACACATGTCATCAGAAATTTCAGATATAATTGCAAGACGTCATATAAACCTTTTGTCATTTGCCGTTCCATCTGCTACAGGTTACTCTGTACATGTGCCTACGTCTAAGCAGCCTCCTCACCTTATACCTGTCATTGTAGTGGTCAGAATACCAACTGCAGAATCCCTCTGATCTGTATTCAATAGCAACAAATGTCAAAAACCTCTACCTGGCCTTTTCCTTCAGAGTTTTGCAGCTGATGGGATTTGCTCAGTAAAACACACAAGTTCTCCTATTGGCACGACTAGTCTCCAGCATGAAAATGGAAAAGAGTAAAAATATGGAACTGGAATAATCTGGTTAGCTTCACAGGTGCATGTGCCCACACGAGTAGTAATGAGATGAGAAAACTATCAAGAAAGGGAAATGGAAAATGCTGGTGACAAAAGCTACAATTAGTGATAAGGAGTACAAAAGGAGCAAGCATAATGACCTCTGACAAAATAAGAAAGAGAAATATCGGAGAACTATTCATGCTGATTGTGTTTTCATTAAAATTGCTAACAAAGACCACTATCTTTGGCATGACATCAACCACGACTTCACATTTGTGAAACATGAACAAAAGTCCTTTCTGGCTTCTAACTCACACAAAAACAGGAGCTAGAGCACCTTCTTTTGGCTTTCATTGAACTACTGACAAATACTATTTGATTCCAGAAGCTTTTAAACTCTGTGTAATTGCAAGGTATGTCTGATCTCAGCTGAAGGGTAAGGGAACAATATACATCCAACAATGTTCTTGTGAACACATTTCCCCCAGGCAAATCAAACACACAGACCTTCAGGTAAACTTGTCTTCCCAAATGCTCTTACATTTGCTCATCAGTGTTTTGGGAAGATCTTCAATTGCCTTTTATACAATCTCAATAGCCATCTTAAGCTTCGTGTCATCTTTTTAACTCAGCCCACCTCACCACACACCCTACATACATTCTTTCTTGAAAACTTTATAGACCTCAGCTGTACACTTTGTTTAGCTTATGTCCTCTGCTTTGTCAATGCACTTTCTAGAACAAGAATCTAGAGAAAGAATGTGCAAAACAGTCACTGAAAGCCAAGTTAGGCTGAAAAACCCCAAAGCGGAGTTCTTGGTTACTTGTAATTTAACATCTTTGTACACACAGGGGAATCGGATTCTTAATGAAGCTCTTTTAACAGGCTGTTCCTGGTTGTTTCTAAAGGTGGCTCTTCAATTGTTTTCCTTTCAGTGGAATTTTTTGGAGAACAAATTAAAATGACTATATTTGAAACAGCCAAAAAGTATTTATCTATGGAGGAATGCTGTGCTGTCGGATACACCGTCTTTCTGTTGATTTTAAAAAAAAAAAAAAATCCCCTTTATTCAAAATTCAAGACATTTTTGTAAAAGTGTATTAACACTGCTGTGTTGCCAAGTCTATTCTGGTTTCTGCATTTTGCTTTTAGGTTTTCCATGCAACTCCTATCCCTGATTTGGCACCCAGAACTCCATATAATAAGAAATAAGTGTTCTTGGGTTTAACTCAGGGCTGGTCATATATTTATTACATAGCCATGTGAGAATATCAGTCATTAAAAGAAGAAAAAAAACACCAAACTTGCCTACATATGCAGAGGAGTATGCACAGAGAAAATGGAGAATTACCCATAGCATTCCATAGGGAAAAAAAATCAGAATAGATGGTTATTGCTTTGCAATGTACTGTCCCAGTACATCAAGTGTCAAGTGACATCAGAGACTGAAAAGATGACTGTGATCACTCCAGAGAATCTGTCTGGCGTTTTAGAACACTTTGCAAACTCAGAAAAACTTTGAATAAATCACATAATGAGATTCTCCTAGGTACTTTTCCCATTTTAAGCAGCTGTTCTGAGACTTACAACTACTCTGGGAAGTAGTTCCTCTGGTTTACTTCCAAGCCTGCTCATGGTGGCCACCCTGGGCCAGGAATCTTGTGTAGCTGCCCAGGAATATGTATTAGTCAAATCCAGTCTGCAGTTATTTAAATAATAAGAGGTCACGAGGCTGGGAATCCAGCAAGACGTTAAATGAGTCAAATGTTAATTTTATTACAGTACCTGCTTGTAGAAATGTCCTCAAAGGGATAAAGGATTTCTCCATTGTTGCAAATCTCACAGATGAAACCCTTTTGACTACAAAGACTGCAGCTATACACATGAGAAGTTGCAAACTTGATCACCTTCCCCAAGAAAGGAGCCAACTTTCCTTCAATAACCTGAAATGAGAAAATGACATGGAATGAACCCATAAAAAATTACCACTACTCCCTGCAAGACTGAAAAAATATAAATACGGATATGCAGCTATGCACAGCTGGTTAAAATAACAGGAAATTAACCTCCCAACAGTAATAGCTCCATGAAATCACAAGTGGTAATAGTGGCCATTGAACTGATAACGATCAAAATGTGGAGAAAAAAAAAGTTACAATTTCTATAAATCCCTAGTGACACACAAGATTGGCGTTCATTTAAAGTAAAACAATACATTCATATATTGAGGCACAGAAGAGCAAACAGGATAAGAGTTCAGGGCATCTGTATTATCATTTAAACTAACAACCACGGATACTGCCTTACACTTACAGTTTTCATTTCTTGCTAATTTTTATGCACAAATCAGTTTTGTCTTTGTTCTTTTTCCTACAAAGCAGAGGATGTTTTATTTTTTATTTTTTTGCATATTTTTCATGAACAGAATCCTGCCTTACCTGCTTTAGTAATATTGCATTTCCCATTAAAAACCATTAAAATACATTATTTCCCTCATTGCCAAAGTGAATAAATTCTCAGAAAAACTCTTGAATAGGAACTGTTTTTTTTCCTTCAGTGTCCAGCTCTCAAATCAAGAAGTCTCTCACTGCCAGACAACCCTGATAGACCATTAGAAGTGATTAGCACTGCCTGTGTTGGTGTGAAAAAACTGCCATGTAGTATAGATTAAACTGCCAGCCACAACACTCATCTAAATTTGTGATTCAGTGACAATGTCTCAATAAGGGGTGCTATTCAGGCAAAATACTTTCCATTCAGATTGAACTTTCAGAGACTTTAAGGAATTCTGCTGGGGTATGGAATAATGAAGATGGAATAAGGCCCCAAGTGTATATTCTCTCCTGGACTTCCTGTGGTCTGAATGGCAGCCTGCCAGATTAGTGATAGAAATGTGTCATGAGATTTGATAGTGACCTCCCATAAAAAAGGAAAAAGAATGTAGTAATTGCTGTTTGAAGACTTATACAGGGCTGTGCCCTGAAACCTAAGAGTGGGGAGATTTACACTTAAATGTGTGCCAGATTCAGTTCAGGCACCCCTTCCCTCCATATCTCGCTTGTAAATGGCTTTAGTGTAAACCAATCTGGAGAAAGCAAAGGTCAAGGCAAAGAACGACCAAGGTTTCAGTTCTTCCCTGTGTAAAGCAGAAAGGAAATAAACTTGTGTTCTAGGGCAACATCCTGTCCACTAGCTGAGATACCCACTGTTAAAGAAGAGAAAAAAGGATAGGTAGCAAACACATAGGTAGCATTGATCTTGATGGCACTGAATGGCATGGGCTGAAATGGTCCTCCTCTGCTTTCAGCTCTAGCCTGCTAACAGCATCTGCAACAACAGGAAGTGGCAGTGTTATTGCTAGTACTGCAGATAGGACATCTGCTCATGTTAGAGGAAAAATGACGTTCCTATTACATCCTGGTATAGGAAGATCCCCTTCAAGCAGAATATAAACAGTGCAAAGAGGCTGCTGCAAATGAAGCCACAGTTCAAGGTAGTGATATTTCTAACCTTCTGCCAGATGGCCAGACACTAGTTTAGCTCCCCTTGGCGGGGTTTTGTTTTTCATTGAAAAGGAAGAATTTTTTTTGCTTGCAGACTTCAGGGCTACAGAGGGTCTGAAAACCAAACAATCTGGGAGTAGGGGAAAGATACAAAAGTTGATGGTATTCAGGAGACAGGAGGAAAGAAACAGTGTAGTCGCCCAGCTCGTGACACTGCTACAACACATTTAGCAGTAATGGATGAAATATGCATACAATGATAACAAGTAAATCATGATACATACATATTTTCCATAGCACTTTCATGCTATAGCAATCACCTCTGACAGGCTGCAAAAGCTCCGTTAAAATGCCAGGCTGAAGACACAGATGCAAACAAATTCTGTAAATCTGTACTATTGTCACTGTCAGCAAGGACTTAAGAGTTAAGTCTCTGAATTAAAAACACATTTTATACAATGTGATGCACAAAATTAACATAATCTATTACCATCTTAAGCACCAGGGGTGAATTTAAGTCTGTACAAGGCACAAAAGATTTCCTGTGCTGAAGAACTCGCAAACTAACCAAGACAGATTGATAGCCCCCAAGGAGATGGTGTTATTCATCCCTATTTATTTATTTGTATGGCTCACCATATCACTGTAGTGGGTTGACTTGCAACTCTGGCCACTGCAGACATACACTGAAGATTGTATCTTCAAAGAACTATGCATGCCAATTTTGCAATGTGAATTACAGGCCATTTTACTGTATTATAGGAGGAAGACGAAATGCAACATCAAACTGATGTTATCACTATTTTTAGCATCTGCAAATTTTATGTCATTTTACTTCATCAGAGACCTCAAGGCTGTGCACAGGAAACAACTTTCCTTGCAGCCTTCTCTCATTCGTGCTTCTACCTAATAAGAGTAAAATCCTCATCGCCATTTACCCCAGCAAGCAAAAAGGGATACTTCTGCTTGCTGCACACAAAAGGAATTTCGTGGTAACACTTCCACAGTGATTATTTTATGGCTCTGGGAATGGGAGCTTGGGACATAACCTACAGTGTCAAAGCTTACCCTGTGACTAAACACTCGTGACAGCCGGATGTCAGTCAGTTAAGACATCCCAGAATCACAATGACAGAGTTCCATGATGTTCTCTCAGTTGATGCTAGAATCAGGTCTTGAGTTTCAAGGAAACACAAGTGATTAAAGAATAAAAATGTCTTACAACTAGCTAGGTATCAGGAAAATCAAAAGGAAAAAACCCTCAGAAGGCTGTCTTGGCACATCCATCAACGTCTATGTTATTTTTTACAGTTAAATCTGTTACCAACATCTTTCAGTGACAGATTCCACAGCCTCCTTACAGTACATATCTGTTCTCAGTGTTTGGTCACTCCTAAGCTTTAACCTGAACATTTCAGTTTACAGAAAAAGCTGAAATTTCAACCTAATTGTTCCATAAGCAGAGCACAGAGAAAAACCCTTCTAAATCCAAGGAAACAAGCAATGTTTTAAATGCCACATGTCAAACAAATCTCAAATCAGACCTGTGGACCTGCAGGAGGTAGGTAACATTCAGTTGTCCAGCTCTCATGCACATTCAGATAAATTGAGTCACTGGGGTGAAAACACAGGTGGCTCCCTGTAACTCAACTCAGTTCTCAGGTGGAAGCTGAGACCTGAAGACTCTTAATGCAACACGAGTCACTGGCAGGCCTAGCTGGCAGGTTCAGCAGCGGGTAAGTCTCTTAGAGTACACTAAAAGAATGAAAACTAAAAATTTCACCACTGACTTATCCTTGTATCATAGTGCAGCCTCAAGATGAACCTGTAAAGACTTAAAAGTAAATTCCCATCTATAAAAGAAAAAAAAAAAGAGCATCAAGCTTAAACCAAATTAAAATTCTGTAATCCTGAGAATCTGAGTTCAGATTCTCTTCCACCTACAGATGCTGCAGCACACATGAAGAACAAGGTCTATTTTCTAATCCTAATTCTTTATGGTGCAAGCAACTGTTTCATTGTCCAAAATTAAGGGTGAAAGAGGATGATGGCATCCTGGTCAATCAATCAATGAAGGGTACAACGCAGCTTTCCCTCCCTAAACTGGTCAAGGAACCCATCCCAGAAGGATTCTGGACACTGGGCCATACTCATACAGTTAGCTTATCACTGCTACAACTGTCATATTTCTTGGTCTGCTGCTTGGTGACAATGGGTGCAGACTACTTCTGTTTGGAGGTCCAAAGCAGGTTGTCTCTCTGAAGAGTCCCAGTATTCAGATCAGAGTTATTGTCCACCTCTGTGGATCTGGAAAAAAACTCTAAGCTATCACCGTGGCTTTGCACATTGCAGCTCCCGACTGTCTCACGTGATATGAATTGTATGAAAATACACACCCACGTGTACATAAAAGACGGGCCCTGCCCTCAAAGCACTTACAATTTAAACCAGCAAATCAGCACTGCTTTTTACACCAACTGCCACTTACTCTCACCCTAAATGGGACAATCCTCCGAGAGTAAATGGGACAACTTTCAGGAGTAGCAAGTGTTGCCCAGGTGACTCTCACCGGGATCCCTGTCCCCCACCTTCACAACACATTTCTGCGCACATGAGCCTGCCCTGCACAAGAGCAGAGGCAGTCGCCTCACCCCCAGTACGTGCTGAGCTACAACTCTGTCCTGAACACATCTCTCATCCAAGCTCTCCAGGTGGAGCACAGCACCAGTAGAAATCTATCTCTGAAGGCCCCTGCTCCCCAAACCCTAGCTTTGTCCTTAACTCTCCTGGTGCCCTGCAGTACAGTAGAGGGGAGCCAAAAGAAAAGCTCGTTACACACAGCAGAGAGAAGTCAAGTCACAGTGTCTTCCCTCGTATGAGAACATACTTAGCAGCATGAAGGAGGGTTGCACAAACTAATCCTGCAGCAGAGCTATGTAGAAAGCACAATGTTGCAATATATGAATGCTTTCATAGTTAAAAAACAAACTGGAAAAGTGGATGGCTACAGTACGGTGGCAGATCTCTTCTGTGTTTAGAGTCCTTCTAACTCAGAAAGATGGCAAACTAAACTTAGTTTTTGAACTCTGGAAAACAGAACAAGATAAAAAATACATCCAAAAAGGTCTATTGCAAAATTATTTGTAAGAGTTTCTTCTACTCCATGAGTGACAGTTATTCAAATTAGAGAAGACGTAATAGCAGCCTCTGACTGGGTGTCACAGGAAAGCAATCAAACATGGATTAGATGAAATAAGGATGGAAGTCCCCTCCAAACTCAGGCTGTTTTATTCCCAAAGAGGTAATATTAGAAGGCGTTAAGGGGAACTAGAGGCAGGGAGGGGAGAGAAGAAAGAAAAAGAACATAAAGAAAAATAAGTCATCTCTAAGCCACTATCGCTTCAAGTAATGCCTCCATAGCCTTCTGCCCACTTACTAGT